TAAATAGGCATAGCGCGGAATCTTGCGGCTTTTGCGGCTTAATCCGCGCCAATCCACGCGGATTTTGGCGCGGATGCGGATCCAAGCCTGAGCATCCAAAATCCACGCGGCGTGGATGGAGGGCACCCTCCATCCGCGCCAAACCGCGCCGAATGCAACTCTACGATCGACTGATTGGGTATAGTTTGGAGAGTCTCGGGGTTTTGGGCCAAAACCCGCCCCAACCCACCGGGGCCTTGGGGCGGGAAGGGTTATGGCTCACCCCGCCCCAAAGCCCGCTGGGGCGGGGCATCGCCTGCCAAAGCCCGCCCCACCCCGCCCCGAGTGACACTCTAATCCCAGCCACGTTAGTGTCCTTGCTAGTAGGTTTGATCAGGAGGTGAAAGCGGTTTCTGAGCATTTGTGAATATGTGGTCACTTGGTCTGTGTGTCTGTTAATATAGGGCTCTTGGATAGCCAGGATCTCTAGGTCGCGCACCTCTTTCTCACCAAAGAGGTGTATCATCACTTTCTCACATGATTTCCAGCAGTTGGCCTGCAGGATCTGAATTTGTTTAAGATCCATCATTGATTACAGTTCTTCCTCCATTGGGTCTTCATTGGAGTAATACTGGCTTTGCTCATCATCAGACTCTTGACCATGGTGCTGATTATAGCTTTTGCATCAGTTTCAAGTCTGTCTGAGTGCTCTTGGAGCAGTGTCAGTGCTTGGGGCACTGAGAGCTCTTGCTCTAGTTTGCTGGCAAGGGCCCTCTCTGGGCTGCAGAGTCTGGGTTTGGGCATTCATCTCATTTTCTGGTTGGGTATCCGCCATAACACTATTTAGTTCAGGCTCATCTTCTGTGCAGGGTCTTTTATTGCTCTTTCTGGGTTGGCCTGGGCCACAGTGTTGAGTGTGGTGCTCTGCAGCTTCTGCAGGGGTGGGGTCTTGGCCTTGTTCCTCCCCTGAGAGGCCTACAGAGCCAAGAGAGACTGGAGCACTCTCATACCATCCACATCCATGTGCTCTGTTATGACGTGCAGTCTCCACTCATTCCACATGAGCTGGACAGCTGCAGTCAAAGGCAAAGTGATCCTCTGAGGTCTTCTCACTTTGCTTAGTGTTCTGTTTTTGGCAGACTGCACATTGGGCCTTGGCATGGTCTCTTGCTGTAGGGCAGTCCTGAGAGGAATGGTTTTGTGCACAGTATGCACAGGAGGTAGGTCACTTGCAGTTTCAGGCTATGTGGCCATATGCTTGGCAGTTGAAGCACTGCTGGATCCAATGAGTTTGGTTGTAGTATTCGCACGGGTGGTCACGGCCGTCAATTGCCAGGCCAAGCAGTATGGCTATATTTGCAGCCCAGTCATTGTTGAACTTGACAATTAGCTTTGATGTTTCTGGTTTGTGTTCTGTGATATGTCAAGGACCAAGAAGCCACCCAGTGTATGTGATTGCTGTGGGGGCAGAGGCCAGGCGTCCTAAGTTATCCACCTTAATGTGTGCTGGGGCAGCTGCTAGATCAAGCTTGCAGTTGACACTGTTCATAACAATGTGATAAGTTCTTCTTTTGATGGTTGCATTGTCTCCAAAGGTGAGGCACCAGTCTTTTGCTGCTCTGGCTAGTTGTTCCACATTTTCCAGGCTCTCTGCATGCAGGATAACATCCCTGCTGGGCAGGATGCAGCCTGTAGAGACTGACCGGTGGACAATTATAGCATTGTTTGATTCTTTAATGGCCTGGTTTGCCTGCTCCACAACCTTGGCCTCCTTCTGGTGGCGCAACGGGTCGATGATCTGGTGGTCTGTACCTTGGATATGGATCTCCAGGTCTGTTTTCAGTGGAAATGGGGTTGCTTGGTTGCTTGGAGAGGTGCTTAGTGTTCCATTTGTGCCAATGGATCCATTGGTATTGCCCTGCATCCAGTTCAAGACCAAAGAGGACTTTGTTGATGTCAGGTGACTTGCTAGAGCCGCATCCTGATAAGAGTTTGCATGGCCGGAGGGGTTAGATGCTGGGGGGCTATTGGTTGCTTTCAGGGACTGCATTGAGTACTGTAGAGCTTTCATTTCCTCTGTCTGCTTATCAAACATATCTTGGAT